GGGAAAGCTGATTTATGATTAGAAACAAATTGAAAAAATTGCAAATCACGTATTTGCCTAGAAAGGTAGTTTTGGAGGTTAATGATTGACCCAAAGTAAAATCTGTTAGATTTGGGAACCCAGCTTTCCCAACAGTCCTTTATCATGATTTTGTGGAAGGCAGAGTTTAAGCCCAATCTTTTTCTCCTAATTAAGCAAAAAAACGCTTTGAAACTTTTGGCTAGTTCTTTGTTTGCAAGACTGATGGCTTGAGCTTTAAAAAATGGAGCTGAATTCCAAACAACTGAAATGTTTGAAGATGTATTCTCTCTCAGAAGATATTTTTTAACTTAAAATAAAGGCCTTCCCCCCTCAATCAATTTTGGTTTAATATAAAATAGTAGGGGTGTTAGAATTTTTTAGAAAACGGAGGGGCAGGGAGAATTGGGACCTGATGAGATGCATCCGTGGGTGCTGAAGGAACTGTCAGATGAAGTTGCCAAACCACTATCCATCACATTTGAGAAGGCGTGGCACTCTGGTGAAGTTCCCACTGACTGGAAAAGGGGAAATGTAACCCCATTTTCAAAAAGGGAAGTAAGGAAGACCCGGGGAACGAACCGGCCAGTCAGTCTCACCTCTGTGCCTGGCAAAATCGTGGAGCAGATCCTCCTGTAATCTATGTTAAGGCACATGGAAAATAAGGTGACTGGTGACAGCCAACATGGCTTCACTAAGGGTACATCATACCTGCAAAATCTAGCAGCCTTCTACGACGGGGTCACAGCATTGGTAGATAAGGGAAGAGCAACTGACATCATCTACCTGGACTTGTGCAAAGCCCTTGACACTGTCCCACATGACATCTTTGTCTCTAAATTGGAGAGACATGGATTTGACAGATGGACCACTCGGTGGATAAGGAACTGGCTGGATGGTTGCACTCAAAGAGTTGTGGTCAACAGCTCAATGTCCAAGTGGAGACTGGTGACAAGTGGCATTCCACAGGGGTTGTTATTGGGAGCGGTGTTGTTTAACATCTTTGTTGGAGACATGGACAGCGGTATCGAGTGCACCCTCAGCAAGTTTGATGACGAATCTAACTGCCTATAGAAAAATGTAGATAATTTCACAGAATTATAGAATCACAGAATGGTTTGGGTTGGAAGGGACCTTAAAGATCATCTAGTTCCAACCCCCCTGCCATGGGCAGGGACACCCTCCACTAGACCAGGTTGCTCAAAGCCTCATCCAGCCTGGCCTTGAGCACCTCCAGGGATGGGGCATCCACAGCTTCTCTGGGCAACCTGTCCCAGTGCCTCACCACCCTCACAGGAAAAAATTTCTTCCTAATATCTCATCTAAATCTACTCTCTTTATGACATCTACTCTCATGTTGTTACATACATCGCTCCGAGGAGCACCTGCCCCAGGGGACAGGCTGAGTATTGGTACTGATCACAGTGCCTTCAGCTTCAGCTTGGTGTTTGACTCAGAGGCACCGCGGAGGAAGGAGGGATGGAAAGAGTCTGCCGATGCTGGATGCCCCACGCAGAGCGTGCACAGCCCACACATTCCACAGCCACAGGAGCATATGCTTCAAGAGGACACCCAAGGAACAACACATGAGCAAAACTGTTTGCACACCTCATGCTTTGGCGTCACTCCCTTAAAGCCTTTCCTCTTCTCCTTATGGGATTTCATAAGTCTCTTTCTTCCTGTGTTTAGCTCAGTCTCTAATCTCTCAGTACTATGAGTCACCTTCCAGCATAGTGGCCAATGCAAATGACAGATCATGTTCATCCCTCGAGAAGTCCAGGGATGTAGCTTAGGGGAAAAGTCTGAGCTTTGGAGTGAGAAATAGAGAATATTTCAGTTAATGCGTCAGACTAATATTGTGAGGCAGCTGAGTCCAGAGGCTCTTGTGCAATATCCTGCAGTCTCAAGCCATTGAACTAGATGTTCTGGCCTAAGAAAGCCTGAAGGCATTGCTTTAAATATCTCAATTAACAATCCCACTGAACATTAAAGAAACTGATAAACTTTGTCTTTCACATGTCAGTGTTTGGTCTTGGAGAAATGTAGTCATGGAAGATTAAGGCCTCTGAAGTAACTGAAATTTTCTGCACACTTGGGCAGAGAGTGCATGAATGTAAACATCACCCAGCCCTGGACCAAAAGGCAAAACCACCAGCTCCAAGTGAATGCTGTGTGGCAGACAAGTTGCTCTGGTTCAGAAAGAATACTGGACATAAATGTTGTCCTGTGTGCTGAACAGGCCTTGTTAATTGCCTTTTCATCCTAATTAAGCCTTCATCTGAAGTGCACCTTTTCAACTCTGTTGCCCTTTAAAGGGCAAGACTATCAAACAGGGGTTACATGAAGGAACTACACAGAATATCAACTAATGAAAAATTCACTAGGGTGTTACCCTTCCTGACCACAAAGTTTAAAAGGATCTGGGATATATGGTGAAATCAGGACCATTTTTTTTGCTTCATTTCCCAGCCCTCATCTGCTTATATACCTGCAAATACAAAATTCCATCTGATAATTAGTGGCGAGAAAAATCAAAGGGTACGCACTTTAATGTGGCCAAAGCTATGTGACAAATTTAATATAAAGATATCCCCAAAAGATTACAGCTTAAGCTATTCTGCGGTTGATAGAAATTGTTAAACATTCTTTTAAAAAAAGGCAATTCCCTTGGATGAATTCCTAAATAGGGTTATGATTAAATCGGACATTTGGGAATAAGCTGGAAGCTGGCAAATGGCTAGTTTAGATTTATGATTCTAAGGCCAAGTACTGCTGAGCTCAGCAGCAAGCCCCAGCTCACACCAGTTTTTATCATTTACAAAACCAATTTCAAGCTCAACACAGGCACATGGGGAAATGTGATACATTTTGAACTTCAGCCTGAAATTTACTCAGATGTGCATCCACCCCTCTCCTGCTCCATCATACTGGGGATTTTACTGGTTCCTACTGGTAAAGGTTAAGGTATTTTTACCATATATTAATGACAATCCTGTCATATAGGATATTTCCTACTCAGCCTCTTCTTGTCATATAGGATATTTCCTACTCAGCCTGATCTTATCCTTTTTTTATTTGACCTTCCCCAGGTGATAGGAACAAAGGCTACTACTGAAATCTCAAGTCTAATTTTCTAACTGCTGGGAGCCCACACCCTTCCACAGGTCACCTGCAGCAGACACCAGCCACCGAGCCATGACAGCAAACATTTACCTACCAACCCGTTCAGCTGACACTGCCGGTAACCACTCTGGGTCACTCTGAGAATAATCCATTGAAGATTTTTGTAAACTTTCCTGAAAAGCAACATTCCTCCACCATCGCAAACTTGCAGCATTATAAAAGTCACCTGTGCTCAGGCACAGCCAAGGGTGGGATGGCTCCTGCAGCTGAGCAACACGTCCTAGCAGATCGAGTGAGCTGCTGCCCTTTCACCGGCTGAATGAAACTGCAGGGTTGCTCCAGGCTGGTTTTGTTAGAGGTGTCGAATACTTATGCAATAATTCAGTTTAGGAACAGATCTATTTTCCTGGCTTTTTAAAAACAGTAATTCAGAATAAAAGGATAGATACCAATCCTTAGAACCACTAACATTGCAGTCAATTGCAGGGTGACAGGTAAGGATGATCTTAAATAGTCAAGTGAACAACTTCAGGTAAAAACAAGTTTAAATGATGCATTTCTGAGCTTTCTAGCATTTTTATTTTCAATTAATTAAAAATAATAAGCTGCCTGCTAAGCTGCTCAATAGCTTTTATTTCCAGCTGAGATTTCCAGATCTTAGTCACATGTCTGCTGAGATACTTTTGGAGAATTACTTTTTTAAAAATAGGACTGTGATTTGGAAACACATATCCAGGAGTCCACAGAGGAAGCAGGCTACATTTCCTGCTTGCTTTTTCATTGAACCGTTTATATAATAAAAACATTTTCCTTCTTATTTTGAACACTGAGATATGAATTAACAAATTAAGTGTGTTCTCAATTTGCCCTCAGCACAACTTCTGCCCTATTTTATAGCCACAACTACATGGTGAAAATGTGCAATAATGTCCAGGTATCCTAAGTAATACAGCATACAACCACGCTGTCGATAACATGAACTATACAGCATTTAGTTTTGGTCTGCCCTACTTATTCTGTTTGTACAGATGTGTTAAAAACAGCACTACCCAGCCATAACTTGGAATATATCAAGGGTTTAAAATGTTTTAAAAGTTCATTTTTCAGAAACAGTTTAGAAACACTTCAGAGAGAGCGCAACAGATTATAAGTTTTCTGTCAGGTTATAAAATAAGTGAAAAAAAAAAAACCCAACATGACTGCCTCCCATCACCAGAGTATCCACTGGAGTTTCTTCTTTCCAAAGTTTAGATTTGAAGGTCTAGATTAGGAGGTGAATAAATGTGCTATAGTTTTTAAAACAGTTTTTTAATCGCTTGTGTTGAGTGGAACATTGACCAGAAAGGTAAACCTGAACTTGAGGGCCATTTTCCTTTGCAGAAATTACTTTTTACACTTTCTCAGGTGAAAGAGAAAGCAAACTTACCAAGGGAAAATTGAAGGACGGATGCAGTAGTTGTGTTAAGGCCAGTGGTGATCTACAGGAAGAAAAGCAAACAGCAGATAGGTTGTGTTATATCAGCGAAACAATACATTCATAATTTGTTTTTCTTTGAAAGCATGGAAACTCTCTGGATACCTAGATCTCCAGTGCATAAAACTATTAATCACCAACTCTTTCAGGCTGAGTGATCATGGACATTTCTGTTAGGTCTTTTTGATTATTGGTATCTCATCATATGTCAAAGCTAGATTCTTTTTTTCTTTTACTGTATTAAAGTCTACAAACTGAGCACATTTATGTGAAACACTGGCTTTTGACCAGTGTTTAGAAGACTGAAAATGTGAACTCCATGGGCTATGGTCAGCTTAGTATAAATCTGTATATACAGAATGGTTTTCAGTTACTTCTCCCAGCACAGAACAAGAACCAAAAATGAACATAAATAAATAACAAAAAACCATTAAGTAAACCTAAAATAATAAAATGAAATATTAAAAGGGAATAACAAAATCTAAGTCTTCAACAGCAAATCAAACAAAACCTTGGTGATACTGCATAATACATACAATGAAATTTTGTAGTAATATCTACACACTGTTGACATCCAACCAAGACCTGGAAACAGGCAGAAAACACCAAGCAGCTCTCTCTGTATTTGGTATACCACACTCCTTTGATGTCTTTCTCCCTTCTTTCAATGCCCCGATATTTCAGTAGTCCAAGTTAGGACTGTCTTCCTGAAAACACTATAAGATAAAAAGCACTAGAGTGTAGTGAAGGACACCTATTTGTTTTCAATTCATTTTGAAAGTTGGACTTAACAATACTGCTACATAACAAGCAAGGCAGAAGCACTGCCTAAAAACACTGCCTGATCTAGTTAGCTTGTCAAAGAGCTGAAAAATCATTGCAACTGTCTGGCAAGCAGAAAGACCAAGTGGAGGGTCAACCCCGAAAAGAGGAGACTCAAAATTTCGTTCACTCATTTTAGCAAAAGACCCAACAAAGATATAATTTATCATTATAAGCAGATTTTAGAGGTTACATTGAAGAAGGAAAAGTGTACAAGCTGAAATACAATGACAACATTAGATCAAAAGAGAAAAAGAAAAAAGGCATGACCTGGCCAGACAGTAAGTTTACACAATCATAAGATAAGTTACCTAACTGGAAGAACAGGCACAGAAAACACCTTAAATAAATTCATCTGACATTATTGCCAGTAATGCCTGCATCCTAGATTTCAAGACTTTGGAGTTGTCCTCCCATGTCAGAGCCTATGCACCAATAGTTCATGTTATTTCTCATGACAGCAGCAACAGACCCTTCCATGGGATGTGCTCCTTGTGATCTGCATCCATGCACCATGTCATATTGTAGATATGCCACAGAGAAGTCAAACTTCTGAGCAAATTTAGGCCCAGAAGTTCCTGGGGCTAGCAGGCTTTGACTACCAGAGCTCAGCTGGGAATCCGCATGGAGGCAGCTCCAAGCAGAGCACCAGGAGGACTTGAATGATCCTCCTGCTTCGCTTGTATGAGTGATGTAGAGGAAACTGAATAGAGGAAAAGAATGAAAAAAGTGGTAATCAGCAAAACATAGATAAACATTTGAGCTCACGGACACTAAACTGTCATTTGCTAAAAAAGCCAGCACCCTAGATTAGACTCAATGATTTTGGAGGATGCTACATTCTTTCAAGTGCCCATTAACTATGGCAGTATTACAAAGGCAATTTTATCAGCACTTTGTAATGATGAACAGTACAATTTCTGCATCATTTCCCTGAGTCACATGGTGAAAGCAGAGATTCTTCCATTATTGTGTATTCCTGCACTCTTTAATTATCTGCTATGCAACTAAACATAAAAACTGATGAGAGAGATCTCTCTCATGTCTGAAGTCCCTTATTACCCTGTGAATCACCACATGACACTGAACAAAAGCTAGTCCTAAATGCAGATGTTTTCTGACTGTTATTTAGGACTCCATTGACACAAAACAAATGTTATCTCTCAGTCACCTGTACTGGCCTTTCTGTCTTTGGAGACTTTCAAAAGAATTTTCATATCTTTGCAAATGTATATTCAGAAGGTATATGTGTATGCAAATCTATATGATTAATGAATTCCTAGATGATATCTTCCTTCACTCTCTTCCATGTACTAACATCAGCTTTTGGGTAGCTGCATGTTCAATCAGCTCAAATAGCTAACTCCTGTTAAACTATTAGTCTTTTTCCTTTGCAAGTTAGTTTTCATCTGGGTTCATTTTCTGGTGTGGTTCACCATGCAGCCCACCAACACTCGTATGGATACCATCTCTCCCCTGGTGGGATGGGACAGGTGATGGTGCAGACGAGCAAAAGGGACTGGACTTCTTCCAGTGCCAATGTGCACTAAGCTGAGGTATTCGTGAAATGATGCCTTTGAAAATAAAGCATGGAGACCTGAAAGAGTTGGCATGAACTTTTGGTGTTTTGTTTCTTTTCTATGTACATATTACATACAGAGAGGAACTTCTTACAAATATTAAAAAGAATGGGATCTTCCCTGAAATGCATTGAAGATTAGCTGATAACAAGACTACATGTGCCTTAGGAGGATGCATGGAAATTTAGGAAATTTGTCATAGCTACTAATGCTCTGTGAACTAAGACAGATTCAGTGGGACAGATTCCCAAGGTTTCATGATCATCTCAAACAACAACATTAAAAACTACATGAGAATTTGTCACTCTCTGTACAAAATGGTTACTCAAAATACAGTTTTCCTCTCTTTGTAATCTTCCTAGCAGGTAATTTTAATCTTTAAACAAAATTAGGGAAGCTACATTTACACAACTCCTTTAAAAATATAGTCCCATCCCCATTTAATTCCATTCTTCCAGAATTGAGTCAGTATTAGGTATCACATTTATCATGCCAAATAATAAAGCGCTTTCTGACTTGAGTTATGAATACTTATTATATTAGTTTACATTCAAATAATTATGTTGTGCAAGTTCTAATTTGAAAACAAAACCCTTTATCAATGTTCAGTGGCCCTTATCACCCAGAAATTAAATGTACCACTTATCACAGAAGAGGCTTTCACATAGACTTAAAATAAAGTCACTTCACTAATGGTTTAGAAAAAAAGTGTTGGACATGCTAAAAACTTTTTGCAAAGCTCTGCAAAGGACTACCAACTTCAAACGCTGCAGAGAGGCTGGTAGGGAGCTTTTAGTAGCTGTTTTCATTTGCAACTTTTCTGATGCTATACATCTTTCCAGGATTTTGCCAGTGGAAAATTCTCACCAACAGACATAGACGTCGGCATTAAAAAACCCTCTGCCTGCAGCAACAGGAGGCTGCTGGGAGTCAGGAGAAGAGAGGGAGGTCAAGGGAGCAAACCAGCAGCTGTCACAGCTGTTGATAGAATACATTTTGCAAATTCAACTCATCTTGACTAAGTATTTAAAACCAATAAATGTGGCACTAGGAGCCATGCACATGAACAGAGATTTCAAGGGCCATTTCAAGAAGGGACAAAATAGGACTTCAATAGTAAAGATGATAGAATAAAAATGCATAATGATTGGAGGAATGAAACAGGTTTTAAAATCTGTGAAGGAAGAGGTATGTTGTGAAATTGCTGAAACATGACTACAAATCAGAAACAGGTTGGTCCTCAGAAAATAGGGATTTAAACCTCTGTTTATACTCAAAAATAAAACTAGGTCAGACCTCTGTCATGACCACCACCCTGGGCTCACCCAAAACATTAAGCCATTAGCATGTTCCTTCAGAAAGATTGGATTTTTCTGCAACACTGCCATAATATTTATAAACACTTCCATTATTAGGCTGCTAACTGCTTATAAGCATGATGATTTTTTCAGCTGATTATTTAATCACACCACTTTGTCATCATAATAAATTTTTCCAAGTTCCTGGTGCCATGGTAGTGCTATTTTACCACATGGTAATACGACAAATACAGTCCAACACTGCATTTTTAAGCCAATTAATGATTACTAAGGATAGTCTAAATTACATATCAGCAGGGAGAAGACAGCTAATTAATGACATTACAAAACCCTCATAGCTGGGACGCTGGATTTGATAAAAGTAATAAATTTTTTTTTCAAGGAGTGTTACCTATGCTCAATACTGCAACTAAAAATGAGTTTAAAATTTGGGAAAAATATCCCAGTGGTGTGCCTTAATTTTTGCACAGGACATAAAACAATGCATCTCTTCTCAAGGCAGTTAATGAAGCATACTACATTCAAACAGGATTCAAAGAAGCAGAGAGGCCATTTAGCATCCCTGTTAGGATTCCCCTGCTGGAGCTGGCAGTGAGGGAAATGACTGAAATTCTCATTTATCCATAAAACCTCTGAATTAGTTTTATATATGTTTATGACTTTCAGTCACCACATCAGCAATATCTACATTGCATTTGTGGAATTTTGGTCCCAGTAAAGGATGCAAAATTAGCCCCATTGAAAGAATTGTCAGTGTCTGAAATGTAGAGAAGATGCCTGGCCAAAACCATTTCTCTTTTATGGCTTTCTTTCATGTATGCTCTCCAAATAAATGCCTCTCCTTCCACTCAGAAGACTCTTGAAAAAATGAAAATTTATTTTGAATTACAGAGGCTTTAAGCTGGTCTTTTAATTTTTCTGTCTTTCCAAAACTCCCATTTTATGTATATCATTGCAGCCAGCTGCCCAGCATCAGCATGTGGGCATTGATTATATATCTTTCAATTCATTTTCCACACCCAGATGATCCCAAGTTAATGCAAATTGTACCGTGTTGTTTCTTACAGCAATTTTATGACACAGTTACCCCCCAGTGAAATTAATTCTGTCATCTTCATCATGACTCAATTTGTTTCATACACTTTCCTGAGACTGGCAGGTGCTTGCCCCAGGCTCCATTTAAGTCTGTAGGATGCATTGTTCACAAGTGATGTTTTACAACCAAACTAACATTTGACAACAGCAACAAGGAAAAAACAGGACACAGCTAATAAAATAAGAAAATAGAAATGAACATTGTCTCTATTTCATTGTCAGAAACGAAAAGAGAATTATGCCAGTTTGACAACACAGTTCTATTTCCTTACCTTTCCAGTCTTTTAGAGATAGTTTAAATAACTTGGATGCACACCAGATCAAGAGACTGCAAACTTTTGCAAACTATTGCAATATCCTTTGGTCAGCATCTGTAGTTTAAAACACTGAGATGTTCCAGGGGAGCTCTTCTATGGCCCTATCACCTTGCTGAAGAGCCTCTCTGCTGAACACCAAACTTTCAAAGCACACATACATCTCGCATCCAAGGTGGCCACGATTCATAGCCTGCAGCCCTAGTCCCAGCAGATGAGCCAGCCTTCACTTACCAATTCTCTGGGACCATATGGCTCGCAGAAAGTGATGGCGTTGCCGTGCATTATCACACTGCACTGCTCTCCAACCTCGCAGTTACTGCATTCAGACCTACAGGAAGAACACACCGTGTTCAAAATGGAAATCAGAAACCGTACGTTTGAGACTGCATTGGGCTTGTAAACTGTAAAATAAGAATATTATATCTTGGAGCTCAGGGAGATCGGACTGTTTTGTTATCATGCTGCTGAACATGAAGAGCAACTGTCCAGATGATGCTCTAGATCTGCCTCTGGAAAAAGTCGCTTGTGAATAAGTACTTACTCGCTGCACACTGTCCCCCCCAAAAAAGTAGTGTCCCTGCTTGTTGATGGCAAAACATCACACCATGGGAAACCACATTGAACTCTTACTTGTATAATTTACCCTAAAGTTACTGTTCTTCCAAAATCCTTACTGCACATTTGATATACCATATATAAACCTGCTGCCACAGAGTTACTGTACAGAACCAGTCAGGAGAAGGGGGTAGCATCAGCACCCTCCAGCCCTCCGGGTTATTTACCCCAAAGGGCAGACACGAGGCTGCAGACCCTACCCAAAACTGGGCACCAAAAAGTTCCTACAGCCCAGCTGCTGTAACGTGGGTCTTGCTGCTGCTTTCTCTTTGTATCTTTCATATCCCATATTCCTAGTAACAGAGAGTTGCCACTCTGTTTGCCTTTTAGGGGAAAACGTATGAAGAACATCTCAGAGACGTTGGTAAGGGCTGCTGAGCCAACTAATTGCACCTCTCCTGATATTTCTTAATTTAATATGACTGACTTTGTGGGCAGCGTGACCGTGGAGCAGAGGGAAAGGTTCCTCTCCCTCACCTTCAAGGATCAGGGTATCGGCTCTTGGCATGAGCAGCAGATTTTCAAAAAATTTGGGAGGTGCTCCCAGCCCCTGACAAACTGCTTCTGATGGGGCTGATCAACATTGCCTTCAGGCATCCAAAGCTCAGCTTTAACCTTAAATCTACAGGCAAACATTCGCTCCCAGCGCAACTCCATTGTAAGCAAGGCTGAACTCACTCCAAAACTTCTAATTTCTTCCTGATTTTTGTCTGTACTTTGATAACTGGTATTTTTAGAGTTTTAAGTGCAATGGGCTCATGTAAGGCATTTTTTTTCTTTGGCTTCTCTCACAAAGAGTGCCTCAGACTTGTCCACCCTTTCTGATGCATATCACCAAAACACACATTCCCATATACACAGCCCAGATGTGGTTCAGTAGCATGCAAAGGTTTGGTTTTCTCCTGCCTTTTCATTCTCCAGATAATTTCTGGATGGAAGAACTTACAGGAAATTGGATGGAAAGGAAGAAATCCCAAGGAGACAGGGATTTGCTGTCAACATGTGTGACAGAGTTTTCAGTGATCATAGTTGATCGTAGATAACTGATACACACTATCAATGTGTAGTTGAATCCTATACAAATTTCCTTGGTTTTTTTTCACTCTTTTCCAAATTTGTGTTTCTTGTTTGTCTTTTTTGTTAATAAGTATTTCGTTAAACCTCCCCAAGTCTTTCTGTAAACTGCTTGGAGCAGGATTTTTCTATTCCCAAGTATCTGAAAACCAGCAGCCCACCAAGGTCCGGGACAGGGAAATTGACATTTCCATCTGCATTGTGAGGAAGAGGCTCGTAGTGTTGTTAGCTATGCCATGGGGCTGGGGCAGCTTTTCCCTGCAGGGGCCATAAATCCAAAAAGTCTGAGCAGGGGAGGATGGGCAGCTGCAAACCGAGGTACTGATTAGAAATAATGTTTAAATTAATTTTTAAAGTACGTGTTTAACTAAATGGAGCTACCTCCTGGTCTGCTCCCTCAGCAGACTGGGGCTCCTCAGCACTCCCCACAGGGCAGCAAAGCGTGGGTAACTTTTGGCAGAATGGTTTAACTCTGGGCAGTGTACAACACCCTGCACAACACCCTGCAGGTCTGTGAGTGCTCAGCTCTGTTGAGTGATAGTTGTTAGGTTTTCAAGTGCATAGATGTGGTGAATAATTGATTGCACTTGTTATTTTGGGTCTCTTCAGTTGGTCCTGGGTGAATTCAGCACAGGACTGACTTTCTTATGCCCAAGTCCATTACAAGTCAAAGTTGAACACCTTGTTCCCACTTTCCAAAACTCTCCCTTATTCTGAGATTTTATTAAAGGTCAGTTTCAGCTACACTTCCTGAAACAAAGTCAGACACAAAAAGTCCTCGATATTTTTTTTTTTTTTCCTGTATGGGCACGTCAATAAAGTCATTCAGTAATTCACACTGACAGCATTTAGGATTTTGAATTTAAGCAGCAAATTAAATCCTTCAATAAAGTAATGTACCTATTGACTTCAATGAGTTGGTATTCACTTACAGATATAAGGCAAGAGGACAGCATGTGAGTGAACAAAATTGTACTTTAAGAGAACGTACAGAAAGAGAGGTCATGGAGGACATGTTTTGTCACTATCTAAATTTCACTTGATCCCTCTGATAACTGAAGAGCAGGACAGGAACTAGAAGCATACCTGGAATTCTGTAGGATTCTGTCTGTTTCTGAGCACTATTTTCATTATCTGCCCCTACAGTTTTGAGTTTTATAGTGAGGTATCTGCCTGAAATCCTAGTATGTGCAGGGAGAGAGACAGTCAGGGAAACTGCCTCTGAACACTATGTAGGGACCACTTAGTCCCTTGTGAAAGGCTAGCCTACATCATCCAAGGGATATTTTAATTTTATAATTCTCATATTTCAATGAATACAAAATGATTCCACTGTTCATCTATTCCACTTCTGTAATGTGGTCTGTGGAATATTGTCTGGAAATCCAGAGACACTGTCCTTCTAATACAGCTATTTCATCATCACTCGTCTTTTCTACAATGACTCCCCTCATGAGAAATTGGATGGCTGTTGGTAATCCTGATTCAAACCTCTGTGCTCTCTTTGAAATGCATTACCTCTGACAATAAATTGCTCACTAGCTTGACAAGAACGCGTGAAGAGTAAGATAATTGATCTGCTCTTCCTCAGATCATCGTCATAGCATTACATGTTTAGAAACAATGCAATTTGCTCCTCTCCTGGTGCAGACAGGAAGGTTAATTTATTTTCCATTTATACAAACAGGAGAAAGTATTAATTGCCCTGGCTGGGTGCAGCTTTTTACATTATCTTTCTCATCTGCCTGGTCTAAAATCTTAGCATGTTTAGATCACTTCAGGTTTCTCTTCACAGCTGGTACTCGCTGCCTCTGTTGACGTGTGTCATATTCATCTAGATGTCTTCTCTGCAGACCTGCCATCGCTCTCATCTCTGTCTTAGAGAGTCCCACCTCTCTCTGCTATTGTTCTTCACTTTGCTGAAGGGGAAACATCTGCTGTTTCCTCATCTCTATTTGTCATCTCGTTTCCCTCTACAATACTTGAGTTTGTGGACATTATATTGACTGATGTCTTTTGTGATGTCTGGACTATAAAGAAGATAAACATTTCAAGCTGCCAAGAGATTTTTAAACATAAATCTTTCTGAAGTTTAATCTCACAGTTTTAGTGCAATTCGGAAAACACTTTAGGAGTTCTCTCTCCTGTCACAAAGCTTTCCTCCCCCTCTTTGCCATGGGAAATATCACTGTACCTCTTCATTTCTCATATGCCATGAAGAAGTGATGGAACCTGTTTCTTATTGATCGATTTTACATGCTCAGCTTTTCCTCATGTCATCTTTGAAGAGTGTATCTTCCGTAAGTGATTGCTGTTTGTAGTTCTCATAGGCTTTGAGATGAAACATGGCATCAAGTTGGGAAGGAGACTTTAGCCAGCAACAACCTTCTGTACAGAGTCTTTCTTTTTTAAATGTACTAAATTCTCTGTTGTCTACAGCCTTGCTTTTAAAACTAAGTGTTCTATACAGAAACATACATTGATGCCAGCATTTCTTCTTTACTAATTTATGCATCTTCTTTTTTCCCTTTTTGTCTGAACATTAACTCACTTATCATAGGATTAAACAGAATATTTTTTCTAGATTTGTTCTTGTTTGGCCTGTTTTAGTTCTTACATAGCACGTTTTTTATACTCTCCTCTGCAATTTTATGAGGTTACATGGAGGCAAGATGGTCACAGAAACAGGTGCTCAATGACCTAGACAGTCTTCCAGATACCACCCATATTGGACCTCTTCTCATCCAGCCATTCCCTGGCCCTTCCCTGATAAGTAGTACATGGTGCCAGATTCCCTTTCCCCACAGAAGAAATCAAATACTTCCATGGTTCCTGGGCTTTCTGAGCTAACACACTCCTGCCAGTTTTCAGCAAGTTTCATGGATCACCAATCACCTGTACTATTAGACTTTTAATTGAAAAATACCCTAAACTTTACTGTCTGATTGGTTCCACAACTTAGCTGTGAACCACTTAGTGTGGCCATTAGTGCTATGTTTACCAGGGAGTGGTCACTTACCTACCTTAACTTCCACAGCTAATATGTCAGACATAAAATACATTGGACATTTATGAATGTGTGAAACATATTTGTTTCACAAGCCAAAGAGATCTTCATAAAGTTGGTGGCAAACGAGTCTCAAGAAATGAGGAAATCTTTGCCTAAGTAAGTAAGCTTGTGCGTATGGGTTAGGGACTTTGGAAATAATCATATTCTGACATGATTGCACACTGGAAGACAGGAATATAAAAATTATCTGGACACACCTCACAAGAAAATCCTCACGGTGGCTGAGTCCCAAGAAAATGAGAGAGATGAGACATGCTCCATTCCTGCATTCTCCACACAGAAATCCTCCCTGCTTCCTTCTCCTGTGTCCTCTCCTGATGCCTCCTCCTCATCCTTTCCCACTTCAGCAGTTTCTGTCTTTTTGTTTCAATCACCAAACTGTGATTTAGGTCAGGAACCTGTTCCCAGATGCTGTGATTTTTCTGTTTACAAAGAGCCCCATCCCAGCCTTTCCCTTCTCCTCGCCTTGCATCTCCAGAAACACTGGTAGCCACTCCTTCCCCACTCCTGAGCCTCCAAAGAAACAGATGGTTGCTGGGTAGGATGTGTCTTTTAATGCATTTGAAAGATTAGAATACATAAAAAACAGGCGGTCCCTCTTGAAATCATACAGCGCCCTCGTGAAAAATAGTTACTTGATGTGAAGCTTCTCCTAGCAATGGAGTGACACACAGGCTCTGCTGGGACTCAAAAAATAAGACACACACAGAAGCTATAAAATGCTTTGCTTGTGCACTTGGACTGTATGTCTCTGCCAGAGTTGCACATGCCAGAAAAGGGATAAGGAGGAGTAGGACAATATTAATCACGTCCAAGCCAGTATTATGTAGGATTTGTGAAGAAAAGACCATAGGAAAATACAAACACTTCTCTTTTCATCTTTACACAAATAATGGTTTCAGAAATTATTAGAGTGACTTAGGCTAACTGGCCCCTGGTGACATGGCGCTGCTGGAGCATCGCTGCACCCGAGGCAGCTGCTGCCATGCGCTGCAAGCACAGCAGACAGGGACAGAGGAGGGCTGGAAATATTGCTCCAGCAGTTATCACAACTGTTTGTGGTAAAGATGGGATTTGAGCAGCTGCCAGGGGAAAAAATGCAATTTTAGGGTGGATGGCATAAACTGTTAATAATCCCTGATTTAGCTCCCACTAGGCAACCAAATGAGAATGAGCTTTCTGCCACTGAGCAGGTCTTCACTGGAGGCAGAGCCACAGTAGAAATCCTTTATGCGGAAAAGTGCATGACACCTCATTACCGTTTTCTTTTATTTGTGCTCCACTTCAGTTTAGCATTGCTGAAGATGTTGGCCTCCTGGTGTTATTACAGGAAAACCTGTCTCTGGATTGCAGTGAGTTTTGGGGCTCTGTTCCAGCACACACCTCTGTGCACTGACCCACCAACCAAGGTGGGTCATGGTTATTTCAGGGGGAATAAATCCAAATCTCAGGGACAAAAGAAGCAAGAGACCAGGGGCTCTTTTAGTCTGAAATTTCTCTGTTGAGACTTCTATAAGGCAAGGATGAATTTCAAGATAAGAGAGCAATGGATAAATAAATTACGGAGGCTCCCAACAGACAGGCCCTCTGTGAGTTATGAGACATCTGCAGGGAAATAATGCCTCCTCTCATTTCTTTCCACTCAAGTCCATTTAACACACTGCTGCTAAAGCTATCTACCTTGGCAGCTACTCTGTAACCCATTAAGAGTCCTTGATCTATTCATTCCCATAAAGAAAGAGGGTTTTTTTATATTGTAGTATTCCAGGTCCTTAATGCATCTGTCCAGAAAAACATTTAAAGAGATCATACAAAAGGAACAAAAGGAGGAAAAAACACTAGGCACATACTAAAAAGTATTACAATAAGTATGTGCAAAAGAAAAATATCCACACAATTTCATAAACCACAATCTTTTTACGTAAGGTGGTGAAACTCTGAAAGACCTGCACAGATGGAAAACTGTGACAGTCCTTAATAAAACAGAAAATGAAGTCAGATTTCACAGAACATATGCATTCCTAACTAACAAATGCAGGTAACTGATAAAACACCCATCAAGAATCTGTCTGAACAAGATAAACCAATCCAGTAAAATATTTCTGTGTCTTGTATGAATTAAATCAATAAAAATAGTTATATTTATGAAATAGGATTGGAAGGAATAGAAAATGCAGTAACAATATCATATTTAAAAAGGTGACCCCAACCTTCAAAACTTCATGTTAAGACCAAGAGATGGGTTTATCTGGGTATAGTAGGACCAGCAGAAAAATATTCACTATACAGAGTAGAATCGGTTTTGTGCTGTAAGAGACCTATAACTTCCTCTTTTGTGACGTACATAAATATATCATATGAAATGGTACTCTATCATTGTAATCATTGTGATGGCAAAATTATTATTTCACCAGAAATATATACTAAATGAACACGAAATTTAAAAAAAAAATGAAAAAACAAAGTTTAATTATTAAACTTCATCAGCTTTTCCATGAAATGATGATTTCAAGAAATCAAAATCTTCGTAAGAAAAAATTCACTGAGCTAAGCTCTAGTCCCTTCTATTTTTAGATTAATTCAAAATTTGAACTTAATGAGAATTTGTCACTCACTTCAATGGGCTTAGAATTTCTCAGTCACTCATTAATCAATTAATTAACAAACTAATATATTTAGGTCCCAATGGAGCAAACACACACATAAGCTTACACCAATGTGAGCTGAGGTATTTAGGAATTAGTATAATACAAATACTTCATTATAATAACCAAAATGTTTTAATATGCTCAAATGCCTATAAAGGAAAGCAGAAGCCTGAAACTCACCACATGGTAGGATTCAATTCTTGCTGATGGTAAGAGTCAAAGTCGTCTCGTAGGATAATACTGTCACTGTGCATTTCAGCTACAAAGAAAAAAAGCACTTCATGAAAAAAATCCAGTGTGATCATCCAGTGCTTTCTAAGTGTTGCCTTACCTAGAGCTAAAGTAATGCATTGTAAAATGAGGAAATCAGCTTTTAAAGGACGGACAGTTACTAGAGCGGGGTTTTCTCACTTAGAGTTTTTTTTTTTTTTCTCACTCTGGATCATAGTACCACAGAAAATTAAGAAGTCTCCGAATCTATCCACCAAGTGCAATGGCTATGAAAAATGCAGTCACCAAGTGCATACTAAATGTTCTATGAACTTTTGTTCCAAATTGTTGGTTATCCTGAATATTCAGAAAAAAATCTCTTCAAATCCAGATTTTGGAAACCCTGGCACAAAGAGAGATGAGGTGTTCTAGTGATCATATTACACTTCTAATAGTCAGGGTTTCTTTCTGATAACTCATAAGCAAAAATCCATGAACTCATTGGAATTTCTCTGCTGCTATCACAGGAGCAGCAAAGGTCAACTCATATAAGGAATATAACTGTGAGTTATGTTATGTAAATGTTTCTAAACATCAGTCTGCAAGGTTTGGACTCCATCCCTAGATTTGCAGTATCATTTAGGTATGATGACCAAAAAACCAAAAATCTCAAAACTTTGGCAGCTGTATTTGTATTAAGCAGACTTTTCTCTACAAATAATTCCATTAAATGAATGAGGTAACTGTCCCGGGCTATGCAAACTGAGCAAGGATGCCAGAGTCTGTCCTGGACTGATCAAATTGCAGCACACGAGTTGGTGGGCGCAGGGTTGGAGCTCTGCTGCGTGCTCTGTGCCCTGCTTGGAGAGCAGGAAAAGCAATGCCCTGCTCCTGCACCTCAGAGGTGCACTGGGACAAAACCTTCCACCCAGTGACCCAGCACTGGTGTGATGGTGTTGTCCCACACCGGGGGTTACGGGTCCTCATGCAAACAGATAGAGCATGGAAGAAAAGAGATAGGAAGAAAAGCTCTGAAGCATGATATACTCGCACTGCAAGGGCTCAAAGACAATAAATAAACAGCAATAAAAATCACAATGAAAAAACAGCTAGTAGGAATTAGACATAATTCAGTTCATTTTAGATGTCTCATTTTTATTTTAATTCCCCAGAGCTAGTTTCATATGATCTTACAGATTGTTTATTATAATAAAGTTAGTGATTCTGAGTTTTAGTAACAAGAATGACAAATCACCTACCTAGGTGAGGATGTAAGGGAGCTTCCGTCGGGGCTGCGGAGAACAAAGACACACAATGCATGAATATCTTCTACAATCAGGGCCTAATTGCAGCATTAAAAATTGATTCAGCATAAAACAAATTGTACAGTACATGGTCTATTAAGTCAACTATCCAGACATTTTAATTATGAAAAATGTGATGCACAGTAAAAGTTATAAAATATAAAAGAAAAGAAAAAAAAATCTCTAATTAAAATAAGCATCAGTAATAAAGACATTTACAGGTTATACAGCAAAGTAAGAAAGATCATTTCTAGTCTAGGATTATGAGATATTATCAGAAATAATTTGGATTAAGATTCAGTAATTTAATGATTGATGGAGTGGGAAAATTGATTCAGTAATTGATTCAGTAATTTAATGATTCACGAGGAGAGTGAACAAAAGAAATAGTCTAGGCAAGGCAAAGATGCCACACTCCGACCATTTGTACTGCACTGGACAACATTGTACTGGGTATATTGTTGGGAGAAAAATCCTAGTATTTCTAGGGCAAAAAGTAACACATTGACTCTGCAAATCACTGAATCAACACTTATTTTAAAGCATGTTTTTCCATCCATTCCTGAATCAATTCCCTAATAGGCCTTTGTCTTCCAAGAAAAGGTAGAATATCATAATAACTCACTGTATGGGGGGCATGTGCGTGAAATGACAAAACATTATTAAGTAGTCTTCTTCTAACTGTTTGCAACAGGAGTCTTGGTGTAACAAATGAAAAGAGAATGTATCTGAAAGGACACAGCTATGTTAAAAATACAGGTAAGTCTAGAAGGTGGCTGCACAGTGTGCTAGATACAACATGGTAACTACATCCATCCACAGCCTTGCCTGATCTTAAACCCAAAGTAAGTTACACCTCTTTCACGGAGTCAAAGAAGGTGCATAAAAGCAAGCTCCTGCGGAACAGCTACCACTTTTGCCTCTCAGTACCTCATCTGTGAGGCTATATTTCTAGTTATATTTTGTACTTTGGTAAATAGAACACCAAAAAAAGAGAATTTTTGAAGCCAGGATTCTTTCAATGATTCTGTGTTTCTTGTTGGGCACTGACCTAAATTTATCAGTACTCCTGATTTCTTCAGCATATTTGCAAAAAATTGCTGAAGTACTGCAACTTCTGTCATAACATCTGACAAATTATAAAAAGATTAAAAATAAACATAAAGATGAGTGTAACAATCTGTGTAGAATGCTCACATACAGTCATTCGAACAGAAAGTCCAACACAAATCTCAAGAATTTTGTTTTTCTCTTCCTACTTTCTCCTCAAACACTGGGTTTGCAGGGAGGCAATTCTGTAATGAAATTGCAACATTTCATGGGGAAGATGAAGATGAAAAAGACTGAGCAAGAAACAGCTGAGGTACCTGCAGACCAGCAAAGAATGGGAAGCAGTCTGGATTTAGCTTAGACAGAAAGCTTTAATTTAACTGACTTACAACTTATGAGGCTGTCAGTTTTTACTCCCTCCAGTAACCTTATACATATATAGACAATGCTGAAAACAACCACAGAACCACCACGGCCAAGAGCAAAGGCATTCTTGAGAGTTTGATGCTAAACAAAAACTGCAGACATGCAGAAATGCAAAATCTTTTTTTCTTTATGCAGCTAACGCTGCATTTTTAGACAAGAAACTTATCCACGCCATCTTGTCTTCCCCAGCAGAAATGCCAATAATGACTCAAGCAAAGACCAAGACCTCTCATCATGACAGTACAAAATCTGGAGCAATGCAACACCAATTGTACATTAAACTTGTCACTGTGGCACTGCCTCCAGGATAGTGCTGGCTGCACTGGTAGGTACTACACGGGAAAAGACTACGTTTGTCTGTTGCAGTCCCAGGCATTGTTTTTCTCCATGGAGGCATGTATAAATTTCTCTAGAAAACTTCTGAAAACTCTCTGCACAGAAGAAATGGATTAAGATGGATTAACAGAATTATTTCCCAGATGGAGCAATGCAGGCTGTTCTGGATTTTGCCTGTAGGATAAAAAGTACATTATGGCATAGGGTTTGAAATATTCCTGATGTCATAAGAGGTTAAGCTTAAAATAAGACCTCTGTCTCTGATGCTCTGCATTACCCCTTTTCACTAGCTCCAGATCATCACTAAGGGATGATCCACTGCAAGGACAGGTGTGGCTGAGAGCCACCCTGCTAGTGCTCATCTATGAGGAGGATGGTCGTGCCAGGCCACATCATGGGCAGACTCATTAGTCAACCAAGCAAATTTCATTAGCTCTTGAGAGTATTTCAACTGAAAGAGACTTTCCTCTCCAACGAGAGCAGACCTGAAAATGAAAATGAAAGACAAGATTGTCATTCACCCCAGGTCACTTGGCATCGCTCTTTGGAAGAGGCTTTCTGGGGAAGGCAGCCCAGCTCAGTACACACATAGTCACTAAGGATACTTTCTGAAATTATTATGCAAAATTTCAGTATTCAGCCAAAAGGCACAGGTATAGCACAAACTTGGAATTTTTACATTTCCAAACCCTTTTCACTTCAACATTTTTAAAATATAACTAGCTGTTTATGTGATTAAAGAATACAAAATTGGGATCTGAGAATTTTTCCTAAAGCACCTCTTCAGTTGCATGCATAGTGTATTGCAAACCAAAACTGCTTACCAACGGACTGAAACAAAGGAAACTGCAGATACACACTAGTGCTACTGATCGCTTATTTAAAAAACTAAAGGTGAAGTTAAGCAAACACTTAATGTTGGACAAAAGGTTGTTCTTACAAATAAAGACTTTATGTTGAGGAGGGATTATGTTTCCCAAATGTCTACAGGATCTGAGAAGCCCAGGCATTTTTGCCTCAGGTATTCCTTCACCTAATTTGTAATTCAAATTCCAGAGCTGAATATGACAAAAGACTGTGAAGGTACCATTTAACGAGTAATAAACCTAGACTTTAATCACCCTATGAATAATTTCTGTATTACATTTTATGTTTCATTGCAAAAGACCACTGTGATGATCTTCAAATGTTGTAGTTAAGGTCCCCAAAATAATAGGAATTTTAAACATCATACAAAACCAACTTCAGTAGTTTTAAAATATTTTCAGATCTGCCCTTTTTATCAGTTTATAGAGCTACTTCTTTAAAACAATATGGATTGCACAGTAGTCTGGCTGAAGTCAAACAGTTTTCTTGCATAACATGACAAAGCTAAAAAAATTATATGGTATGGAACAGCTATATAGTGCAAAGAGAGAAAACACAATTAAAAAAAATATACAAAACTTTGGACTGAGAGGGGGGGAAAAGACCATCTCAGTTTATATTTTAAACCACGATTCACTTTCTTAGATGTTCCTTAGGCATTTGGTTGGATGGTTTTAAATTTAGAATCAGAATTTGTGTGACTCCAAAATGCATCTTAGCTTGAATGAGAATGTAATTTATTTTTTAAAAAGTACAGCAAATGAATTTGTTATTTGATTTTTCACTAGCACCCCGGGTATATACAGAGCTTTATGTGAGACAAATTGTACTAAGCAAAGAATGGAAAAAGAGCTCAGCAGAGTTCACCACCTAAGAGGCGTGAGCAAATACAAAATGAGAATACATAAGGAAATGTAGGATGCTTGCCTTGTAAGAAGGCAATCCCTCTGATAAGGAAATGCATAGAATAAAGTACACAATACAAAGTGATTCAGAGAGAGAAAGGCCACAGTCAAACTGAAAGCGTGAGAAACTTGAGGAAAGTAATGGGGGATCCAGAAGTCAATGGGGTCATTGTGGGGCTCTGTGTCAATAGGATGAGGGAGAATGAAGGCATCTTTTGGAGTAAAAGGTTAAAATTTTCTGTGGATGAAGTAAGGCTACTGAAAGGTTAAACCAATAGAAAAATATGCCCTGTTTTGGTTAAACTAGAAGGAAGAGAAATATGAGAGAAGTGGGAAGGGAACGTCATCTTCAGATAGAGGAGCTGGAATATGAGGAGGGAAATAAGATTTGGTGATAGTCCTGATGTCAGTGGAAAAATAAGAACCAAAATCATTAAACACGGTGATTGTTAGCTGTTACGCAAAACTAGTCTCCCTTCAGATAAAAAGATCTGGCATAAGGCAAATCAAACACATTCCAGCAACATCTCTTTCTACTAGTGACACCCATATTCCATACATCTGTGGGGTCTAGCCTGTGTACAGGGATAGGTAGGGAATACAGCATAAGAAAATATTCTTAAAACTCACTGGAAAACAAATAGCCTTTTTTTTTCTTTTTTTTCTCAGAATCTGAACTTTTTTTCAAATATAAAGGAAAAATTAATTTCAGAAACACAAATGCTCAAATGTTCCCAAACAAGCACTGTGCTCAGAGTTCAACAGCCAGCAGCCATTAGCTGTTGCTCATCAATTCATCGTGAACGAGATGTGGAGAGGGTTATATTCTATTTTGCAGATTATGAAAAAGTCTAATCTCCTTCTCATTAGCAGCCAGATGAAAATGAAAAAGGAAATTAATGCTTTTATTTAGACTCCTGCCAATACTTTCTCTCTACTGGTAAACAAAGTTGCTATTGAATGATAGAGGCTCAACATCCCCCTAGAGAGAGTCAGTGTGTTGCCCGAGGGCTGCATTATTCTCGCTGACACATAAGCCAAGGAACAATATGTCAGCTCTAAATTCCAGTCTTCTGTTCTGTAAAATATTGTTCTGGTCAAGCCTGAGAGCCTGCAATCTGTTTTGCATTTGTTTTTCAGAGTGTTCTTAAATTTTGCAAGGTAAAAAACACACTTAAAAGTCTTCTACAAGCATTCAGGCAGAAGCTATCAAATAAAAGAGAGTCTGGGCCAGTTCTCAAGATTCACTTTCATACAGAGACATCTGTCAGATTGTAAAGTGGTTTCTTAAGAAAGGAATTCCAATCCTATAATTTGTGGCACTGAGCATGAGATTGCATAAAATTCTGGGAACTATGCTGAAAGGAATGATTTTGCACTAGGAGGGAACAACATTCTTCCACTTCTCCATCTCTTAGATTTTACTGTTCTGAGATTCTCCTCTAGTCAGTCAGAACTAAATTACACACTCACAAATATCCCAGTATGGCCCTTATTCCAAAGAAGGGTGCTACTGGTCCAGAGTTACATAGTGTACCTGGGAAATGGCCTCTTTAACCCTTTAGCATCCTACCTGGTGTGGTGAAGGTAGGCGGGGTTCTGTGATGCTGCTGCCAGCTGCATCCATCCCGGCACAGAGAGCTGTTCCTCCCAGCAGCATCGCTGTTTTCATACAGACCTAAACTCTTTTGAGTTTAGCAATGCAGCCAGGTCTGATGTTTTGCCAACTCTATTTTAATGATGCTACTGTTCATTAATGTATGATTTTTTGTTCTACTCAAGCCAGGAATTAATATGAATGAATCTGCACAGCAATAAGTTTGCCTTATTTTCCGTTTATTTTGCTGTTAGATCACCAAGTTAAAGATATTGTTAATTAAAGATATTATTAATATCAGGAATATAATCAGTCATGAACATCCTTATTTGTTCTTAAAAGTATTTATAAGACATCTGTCTTTCCTGTCTTGGCTTATACAGCTTTTGTTTTCTTGCATACTTGTGCTGGATTAACACTTTTGTCTGATAATTTTTATGTCTCCTTTCTTCAATATCCAATAAAATTCTTATAAACTTTAAAGCCTACATCAGTTCTCAAAGATCCCTCTAGCTTCCTAAAATATTTATTATATGCTGAACACACAGCTTTTCAAGCAATTTTTTTACTTACTTTGGCATCTTTCCCTATGGCATCATACCTTATTCTATTTACATTATACATAGGGCTGCTTGTTTGGTATTGCCATCCCTTAACGCTACCCTTTATCATCCTCTAATTCTCTTCAAAATAAGAACTACACTTTCTTCTCACTGCACAAATCCCATTAACTCTGTTAGGATTTACTAATGCACATCTGAGGGTGGACAGCCACAGTGAACATGATTTCTGAGATTCCTTGCTACTTTCATGTCCTCATGTATATCCTTTGTACCAGTTATTATGAAGTCTGATATCACCTCCAGTGAACACACTTATTAAAAAGATATCCTGTAATAAATCTATGAAGTTGCCCTGTGGTTTTATTTTCTTTACTTAATATGTCACTTCATTTACCATAGCATTGCAGTATAGTAATGTTTAGGGCCAGAAGCAGAACATAAAACCTCATTTATGTCAATCTATCTTGCTGGCTTGCATACAGCATAATATGATATTTGCATCTAAATAAATTCACTAATTATTTCTGAAAGAATCCTTTGTTTACATTAATAGTATTGCTGATACTGTGATTGTCTTCATGGAATAAAAGAAGCAAGGTTTGCTTCAAATAAAGCATCTTTTATTTGAATAGGAAAATTAATCCTAATAGTATAAGACTTATAATAGTAGACACTGTTTAGGGGGACTAATGCAATGCATGTTGTCTGCTGAAGAAATAAGAACAAAAGGACAGAGGAGAGCCTGGTGCTGGAATGGGGACGAGGAAGGGCAGTGGGCAGAAGGGTGGTTGACTGAGTCAAGAAAACTGTGGCCAAGCTAGGAAACTAAGAGGAGAGAAGCCTTGGTGCAGATAAAAATGTGGGAGAAGGATCAAGAGAACCTCTGAGAAGCTTGCAGGTCATTCTGGCAGAGAGATTTGATGACTGATTACACACTGTCATACACTGTCAGCTGCTTGTGGAACAGTTGGACCACCTCTGAGTGATCCTTGACCAAGTCAAACCTGATGTCTGCAGTTAACACAATGACGTCAAGTATTTTGGAGAAGACAAATCTAGAAAGTCTCTGAAGTGACTGTGTATAAAGCAAAGAGAATTGCTGGGAAAAGGATGGGAAAGACGAAAGTCACGAGGATAGCAAGGTGGGGAAGCTGGAGGCCCTTTCAGGGAAGCGGTGCAGGACATGGCTGCCCATGGCTGGGTGGGAGGAGGAGGCAAAGGGACTGTCACAGCTGAGCAGACAGTGAAGGCCCAGCGATGGCATATCTCAACATCTTTTATTCTCTGCATGCAACCAAAACACAAATCTCATTTTCTCCTTGTCCTGCAAAGTCCCTGTGAACTCGGGGACAGCACACAGAACCATAATGACTTATTGTTCTAACCAACATAAGTATTGCTAAAATGTTGATTTGAGGTTAGGTTGTGCTCCGAAATTGGAGAAATGTAAAGCAGAGAAGGATGAAAGAATTACAGTTTCTGCTGTCAGCCCTCCTAATAAAATCTCCTGGTACAGCAGGTGGGAAGAAAGGACTGTCAGAGCCTGTGTGGATGGATTTCTACTCACTAGTCTCTGCATATCAAGGTATTTCCTTCCACACAGTAAAATACCGATACATGCCTGGCCCAGCCACCTTCCAGTCAGAGCCTGTGTGGATGGATTTCTACTCACTAGTCTCTGCATATCAAGGTATTTCCTTCCACACAGTAAAAATACCGATACATGCCTGGCCTAGTCACCTTCCATCCAGCTCATTATAACATTCCCTTCTGATTGCCAGCACCTATGTTACACTTTTCTAATTAATTCAAAATGTAACTAATTTCCTGGCTTGTTAGCAAACATCTGGGGGTGCTGGTCAACAGCCGGCTGAACATGAGCCAGCAGTGTGCCCAGGTGGCCAAGAAGCCCAACGGCACCCTGGCTCTTGTCAGAAATAGTGTGGCCAGCAGGACTAGGGAAGGGATTGTGCCCCTGTACTCGGCCCTGGTGAGGCCGCACCTTGAATCCTGTGTTCAGTTTTGGGCCCCTCACCACAAGAAGGACATTGAGGTGCTGGAGCAGGTCCAGAGAAGGGCAACGAAGCTGGTGAAGGGTCTGGAGCACAGGTCTTATGAGGAGCGGCTGAGGGAGCTGGGGTTGTTTAGTCTAGAGAAGAGGAGGCTGAGAGGAGACCTGATCACTGTCTACAACTACCTGAAAGGAGGGTGTAGTGAGGTGGGTGCTGGCCTCTTCTCTAAAGCAACAAGTGATAGGACAAGAGGAAACGGCCTCAAGTTGCACCAGGGGAGGTTTAGGCTGGATATTAGAAAAAACTTCTTCACTGAAAGAGTGATCAGGCATTGGAACAGGCTGCCCAGGGAAGTGGTGGAGTCACCATCTCTGGAGGTGTTCAAGAAACGTGTAGATGTGGTGCTTAGGGACATGGTTTAGTGCGGTAGGTGGTGCTGGGTTGTTGGACTTGATGATCCTTGAGGTCTTTTCCAACCTTAATGATTCTATGATTCTATGATCTTCACTCACCTCTCTGAATCCCTCTTCCTACTTCCCATTGAAATATAAAAATACTGAAAACTCAGATACTGAAATTGAAAATTGAAATACTTACCCCTCATTATCATGGAGGTACAATTCACCCTTAGGATGAATAACTCAAGATATGCTCCTGAGATAGTGTTCAACAGCTTCTTATTGCAAAAGCCATTGCATAGAAATTCCCAAACTCACAGGAAAAAACACTTATAGTTCTAACACCCCTAAAAGATGTAATTTTGGGGGGATTTTCTCTTGTTTGTTAATATGACGACACATTTCTAATTTTGAAATATTTGTTTTAGACTGGTGGGACCATGTTTCACTGTCTCTTTTCACACAAAAATATCATTGGAATTTTGGAGGGAAAACCAGATCAGCAGAGAAATTCCTTTCTCTCCTGTACCAAAAATGATGTATATTTTCTCTACTTCCAACTGTTTTAATGAAGCAGTGTACTGTTTGCAAACAACACCTGACAACACGACATTTATTTTTAGGTTGTTCATCAAAAAGATATATATGATAAGCTGTGCAAACAATCAGATTTTTAAAGTTTGTGTAAGTCAAACATCTTGTTTAGCTATAAAAATTATGAAATGTTATCGGTGATGGGCAAAAATTTGATGGCCTACTTTCACAAAATGGGAAAGCACATTCTTCACAAAGATTCGTGTGAGCTGGATGGTAAACAAAGCTTTTGCTGCAGACGTATTGCATTTTTGGTTGTTACTTATTATTTGTTAGTACAGTAAGAGTTGAGACTCGGCTTGTGGTTTTGACAAAAAAAAAAAAAAACGTTGGTTGTTACAGGCTGCTTTCAGGTAAATGTATAATGCAAGATTTACTTTAACTTTTGTATATTCCCCAACGTTTAGCAGAGAGGACAGAGGGGTTTCCCAGGTAACTCATGGGAAGTATGAAGACAAAGAAATTATCAGTTTTAAGAATGTAAATAAGATCTTAATACTAAATTTTCTGAGAAATAACTTTCATGATGAGTAACACTGACATGTAAGTACAATAGAAAATTACATTTGCCAGATATTTTTAATATGATGATGGCTCTTACCTCCCTGTTCACACAGCTGTTGTGCTAAGGCATCCTTGAATATAACTTGTCCCCTATGAGTAGCTGTAGCCCTGTGAACATAAAAAAGACAACAATAAATAATGTAGCACACTTATTTATATATGCATATCTGTATCTATATGCATGACTAATCGAATCAGAAGTCCCATTCTGCTTTCTTCCTGTGTTCTTCTTTCTGCACTCTTTAAAATCATAGAATAATTTGTGGGGATTGTTTTCTGTGCAAAGGAAAAGAAAAGTTCCTAAACCAAAATGGCTAGGTTGGTAATAAAAAGTACTGGCACAGGGATTCAGTGAAGGACATGAGTAAAAGTAAGCATATTGCACAGCTGAGCACATCTCTCTGCCCAAGAAGTCGTACCTGTCTTGGTGCAGCACAGAGGAAACGGTTGCAGAGCTGCTGCCTTGTGAAATGAATAGTCACACAATCCAATAGGCAATAGCAATGGCAGTACTGTTATATGCTACTCAAAAAAAATGTAGACCTTGAATGGGTGCCCAGAAATCCTCTCTGGAAAGCAAGCTCTCTGACCCACATCTCCATCAAACATCTCCAAAAAAAGAAGACCCCACAGCATTCCTTGGTACACTGCACTGGATTTTGCTGGCAATTAAGTTGTTCTTTCTTTTTATTTTCCTCATCATCCAGTCAAGCTAAAGTGGATTACTTTATCCTATTCTGGTTTTTTTAATCATCATATTTCTTTCAGGTTTTTTTCCTTGAAGTTAAGAAGCCTGATACATTCAGAGTGCCTGTCATTCACTTTCTGAACAATGCACTGTTTTCCTGGTCTCCTCTGGTCTCAGTCTGTCTCCTCTGAGGAACTGATATGCCTATAGCTGCATGTAGAGTTTCTGTACCTGAGGTCTCACTAGTTTTGTCTAAAGAATAATTATTTCCCATTAATGACCCACGGCTAACAGACCAGCTTAATGTACCATAAAGGAAGATCTGTCATTCTGTTTTCTCATAATTAGCTAGAAATACAATAAAATTTGATTTGTTTTTCTCTTACAGATCTGTCATGCTAACAGTGCTAGTTATTCTTTATTTCTAATTGCTCATTTCTTCCCTCTTTTCTAAGTGTAGTACTTCACAACTTCATTTTTATTTGGGAGATTTAAAAACCTTTCAGTATTTGCCAGTGTTGCCTTTGAAGTTTGATTTCTTGCAGCCAAAGTTCTTCCAATATCTGTCTAGACTCATACACACTCTTCATATGTGTTCTTTATCCTTTCTCCATGTCAGTAATGAAAATAATTAACATTAATGGGCTCAAAATAGATCCATATGAACTCCTTGAAATAGCCTCTCAGTTCAACAGTAAGACATTGAAAGCTACTTCATGAGTGTGGTTTTTCAGCCAGCTGTGTGCCCTCTCTAATGGATCACAACTTGCTTGCTTTTGAAAGTGTTAGGAAGGACTATAAAGGAATGGTTAGAAAGGAAAGTCAAAATATATAATTTTTTTTCTTGGCTACTAGGCCAGTGACACTGCCAGTGAAGAAGAACGAAAGTAACACATCTGATATTACATTTTCCTTATATGGTGGATCCTCAAGGTAAAACCCATCTGCGAACTGTCAGAGGACAAACAGGAGTAAAGGAAAACTCTGGGATATAATTTGCTTCCTGCTCATTTAGAAAAGCTCTATTTACACCAGTGCATGTGTCCAGAAATGTAAAACTATGGCTGGCTAATGCCCCAAGGGCTTTTAAAGCATTCTCTTCCTCTGCTTGCAGAAGGAGACCTGTGTTGCTTTTTCCTCCTGCTTGGGCTTCCAGAGGCATACATAAAGCTGGAGCCTTGCCTCACCTGGTAGCAATAGTACTTTGGCCACAGTCCTGGGATCACATCACCAGTGTGAGGTTTTGGTTGTAGTCCCTACCATGTGCATCACGGAAACTATTTTAGAATTTTACACTTTCGTAAAATACAGTAAAACATCATGCCATAGTTCTTCTTTAGCATTTCTTCATCTGCTGTCATGACCAGTGACCATACTAAGTACAGAGTAAAACAGAAACAAATACATCACCCCAGCGCTTAAAGAAAGACAAGAGAGCTGAGACTTTAAGTCTTATTTACAAGTAGGAACTAAAGTATTTCTTAAAGCTCTGTTGTGATGAATATGCAAGAACCCATGATCTCTACCTATGTTTCTGCAAATTTTCTCACTGGTGTACTCAGACACACAAGTCAAAATGGGACCAAAAAATTTCCAAGGCTTCCAAGGCCCAGGCTTCTTTAAAAGGACCAGATACGGTAACTTCCTCTAGCTGATTAAGTGGCAGGGCACCCCACAGCCAGATTTGGGTCCAATGCAGCACCAACAGACATGTTTTAAAATCTGTCTCATTGTGGGAATTCCATGTTTTGAGCAAAAACCTGCGTCACTGTGCTCCTGGGCACATACAAGAAAATGCCACACCTAATGCACAGAAGGTATTTCGTACAACATTTCTATCCCTCTCCCAGGCTGGCAGGGTGGAAGAGAGAGCTCTTTGCAGACAGTGAGAAAGAAAACTTACATTAGCAGTGGACTGGGACTTCAGAGATGCTGTTCATGCAGCAGCCCAGGATACTATTCAGGATGTGCACAACAACGATGGCCACCACAAAATTCCTTTATGAGGCCGATAGAAGCAAACTCTCAAAACACGGACCACATGCAGAGAGGAGCTCAAATACATATCTGAATGCAAACAAATACCAAATAATACCAATAATACCAAACTGCGTACTGTTTACTGGATCTCTGCATGCGTGTGAGAAAAAGGGGATTTGGGGAGAGAGCCAGCAGCCAGTTGAATGATCTGCGTCTTTCTGTGTCTATCATCCCCTGTTTGATAATGCAGACTAGGAGCCAATTATTGCTGCTCCATAGCAGGAGCAATTTGCACCCTGGGGACAACAGTGCCATGCAGTAAGGGCACTGCTTCCTACAGCGTATGCTTACATTAGCATTAGTTTTGCAATGGGCATACGCGTGAGTTCTCCACCGGCCAGTGCAGCTTCAGGGGACTATTTAGGGTATTACTACTGTCATTTTACCAGTATTCTCTGCTTGTTTTTCTCTGTATTTATGCTTTATGCATGGAGCAAATGACAGTAATGCAGTGCAATTATGCATGAACTAAGCTACTTTTAGAAGGAAGTGCAAAACATACCTTTCCTGTACTGAACTTTGTTGATATTCCTACCTGTCAGGTGAGATTAATGGAACAGGATCATGAATTTAGATTTTTCTCTTCTAAAAATATGTAACATATCTAAAAACATATCCATCCCCATATGGTCTCTCAAGTATAAAAACTACATTATATTTATAGCAATAATAATAAAAAAATATTGGCAATGCCTGAAAAAGACTCTATAGAGAAAGAAAATAATTCGACTGCTAATTATGGGGTTTTGTTTTCTTTACATGCATTTTGATTAACTGGTATCTGTCCTGTTTTTCTAAAGTTTCTGTTCGGTCTTTAATGTAGTTAAATATGAGGGATACCTACTAACTATTAATTGGTGTTACTCCACACCACTCTATAATCCTACTCTGTCATTGTATGCTATTTATTTCCAGCTAAAGGGCAAGTGACTAATCAAATCTAACCTGTCAGTCAGCCAGAAGGCAAGATGCATGCTCTCTGTGTACGCAGAGGTAATTCCTCACTAGCAATGAATCTTTCCAAAGGGGTGAGAGGTAAAGAAAAATGAGAGGGAACAGGAACATCCTGACATGGTAAGTGAGAGCTTTGGAAGAGAAACAACTTAGAGGTAATAAGGTTCCTCTTTATATAAACTTCACAATTCCATTAGCCTAGATGTATTTGTCTGCTTGGGGCTATGCAAGAGAGAGGAAAATGTGTTTTTAGAAGTAGGAAGGGGAGATAAGCTGCTGACAGAGGAAGAAAGAGGTCTGAACACAAGATGACTATTCAGGTGTCAAGGCTCACTCAGTTCAAGGCATTACTAACCCCACACTTCAATTGCAGCAATTCTGAAAAGAGTTTTGCTTCCTAAACCGCAACTATTCAAGTTAAAATTGGGTACCAATAAAGACTTTTAGATTGTCTGTCACTGAAAAGCAAAAAAAGAAATATGACTTGCTTATTCTCTACTTGTACTATACATAATCCACATCATCTGTGAAAGAGGACTTGAAATGCTACCCTGCTCAAGTGCCTAAAAGCTTAAAAACACTTTATTTGAATGCAGCGTTGCCAGCTCCTCTGAACATAGCCTAGGCAACATCAATTTGTCCCCTATAAAATGACACAAATCATTCCTGGTGATTTGGGAGAAAGAAGTCCAGGGACACGTGCATACATTCATGAACCTTTAGATCGAGAGATGTCCCTCCAGCTTCTTGTTGATAGATGCAGTACGCTGAGCTGTACATTCAGGAGCAGAGTGCCTGTCCCAGGCCTTGCCCTGAAGCTGTCACCATCTGGTTGTGCTCTGGGATTCGCACGCCTGGCACTTGCTCTGCCCTTACAGGGGTGCTTGGCATCTGTGCTTCTCCCTAGCGATGGAAGGCACTGGGACAAATTCATTTGGGAGGGATCTGGGAAAAGACTCATGTTTCCTACAGTAAAATGCCCCATCTCATGACACCCCAGAAAGGCTTTGAGCAGGACCAAGGAAAACAACGTTATTTTTCACCCACACTAGCAGAGTTTAACCCTGTGCCCACTGCCAGCAGCTGCATCGTGCATCTGTACACAATGGCTCGTGGCTGCTTCCACTGGAGGCAGTGTAGGGTGATATCCACAATGCCAGCTGCAGGGAAATCAGTGACTGACTATATGAAGATGAGATTGGTCTTCCCAAACCCTGCAGTGCTGTGCCCTCAAATCAAGTCTGATCCACGGACAGCATGGACTGAGCTCCCTCCCTGCCGCTGCAGGGGAGAGAGTTGGTGCTGGGCATCTGATGAGCCTGGGCTGGAATGGAAAACAAAACAATGCACACCCCATAATTGCTATCATGGTTTTATATTGAAGTATCTCGTATTTCACATCAGGTTCACATGCATGGCTGATCTG